ATACAAGAGATTTAGGAATTAAATCCACAAGGCACACAAATAACTTCTTTTCTTGTGAAAAGTGACAGAAGGAAGTACTCTCTGGCTTAATTTCAAGACAAAACTGCTCATTTTACCGAGCTACAAAACAAGAGCAAGCCCGCGGCTGTGAGAGATTACCGCGCCGCACTTGTCAACAAAATAACGGCCGTCTTCGTAATTGACAAACTGACACGCCTACTCCCACGCCTCATCAACACGATCAAAAACAAGATGACGATATTGTCGTGAATAGGCCGGAATTGTTCAATACCGCAAATCCTGTATATTTGCCGATGAGGAGATCCGTTAAGAGTCTTGGAGGCTCGACAAACAAATCTGTCACGGGCGGTGTATCGGAGCAGCGGCGCACTCGAGTATTTTGGACAATCCCGGCTTTCGGGTTGAAGAGCCCCGCGTTAAGCCCGCGCGGCGTTCTGAGATCAATTTGCAATTCGCCGGGGATGGGACAGAAACCGATAGTGTTTGACGCACTGCCTGTCGGTCCATTCATCGGTGATCAATGGGGTCGTGGAAAGTGGTGGGCGGAGAGGAGGGGAGACGTGGGATCAGAAAAAGCCGGGACAGAATTAGGGAACCTGAAGTTAATTACTGATTGCAAATCTCCCATTAGCCGTTGCGGCTCAAGGAGTCAACGTCAGATGCAACCATTGCGACAATAAAAAGCTGCTTGAACAGGAAATAATAAATAAATTGGTTATCCCCAAATTACTTGCACAATTTGCCAATAAGGGAGCAGAATATAGATTAACCAAGATACAGCTCTGTTTTGGAGAAAAGCTCGTTAGGTAATTTGTGCTGGTATTGAGAGTTCGGAGAATTGGTGAAACGTCCGGTGGAGTCATTTAATTTTGCATTTTACTGCAGACATTACGGTCTTTCCGTATTAGAAACACAATATGTATTAATCAAAGGTTTAAAAAAAAATAGAAAAAAAAGCTAGAAACAAAAATAAAAGGGTTGTTTTTGTCGATGGAGTACGAAGAATGATTATTTTTTTAGCATCAAGTCTAGCAAAGACTGAATCACAAAAATACTCCAAATTTATTAGGTTTGTTATTTTTATTATTTAAACCTTCACCTTGTATGACTCTCTGAAAATTGGATTCAGTTTCAATCCTCCAAAAAAACATCCGTTATTTTTTTGAATTTGTTCAGTGGAGGGGTGACCACTGCCTCAATCCTTCAAAATCATTCAACAATCACTGTTATTGTGTCATCCAAAGTCAACCAAACACTTTTCTTGTCATTCAACCTAAATCCTCAAAAAAACTTCTTGACTTCTTGTATGTTTGACAATATTTGACAATTACAAGCACTCCCTGCTGCTCAGTTCGATTTTTCATCAAAGATTCATCATAATTTTCTCAACGTTGCACTTGAGCCAAAGTTATGGGAACTTAACAGCTGTAGTAGAAAATTAACCTGCTTCCTAAATTTCATAAACAGCGGTTGTAAATGCCTGTATTATGTTTGTAAATTTATTACAGAATTGTACTAATTGGTACATGTATTCTTGGATATAAACCGTAACTCTCTAGGCATTTTCGCTAGGATGCAACCTCAATCCTGCAAATTCCTCCAACTGCCTCCAGTAAAAAATGCGTCATCCGTTATTTCTTGAATGTGGTCCTTGGAGGGGTGACCACTGCCTCAATCCTGCAAAATCCTCTATCAAACACTGTCAATATGTTGAGGCAGAGCCAGTGACATCCTGGAGCAATGCACCGATAAGCCTTAATTTATGTGTGGCTGAGTGTAAACAACACAAGGTCCGACCCAAGACCTTGACACAGTGCATCCTCCAAAATCAGCACACCTTTTTGCCATGTGGGCTCCGTGCGCCAACAAAGAGGGTGCCCTTTTACCTAGCAACGACGTCACATGGGAAGCACATTTAGCTGGTTGACGCGCACCGTTCCTTTCGTGTGACACACGTACCGGTACACCAGGGAATTTGTACTATGTACACCCAGTGGTACGGCTGCACATTGCGGCAAAATTGCAGTCAGGCAAGATGGCGTCGGTCTGTCACCCCCAACTCTACTTTCTTTGCCGGTGAGGGGGTACTTGTTAACGGAGCGAATAGCCTCAATCTGGTAAAATCCTCCATTTTGCAAAGAAGATTTTGGAGGATTTGGGAAGGGTAGGGTTAATGATACCTGAATGGCAAATTACAAAGTTCAGAGGTAAGAAGGACATGAAAATATCACATTTTGGATCCTAAAGTTGTAGAATGACCCACAAGTCAGTCAGAGCAGGATTCTAAACCGAGTCACAACTGTGGAAGGGAAGGAAGTACCCTCTTGCCCCATTTTCTTTATACAAAATCTGCATCAGTATGTTGTAGAGCCTAAGCTTGAGTGCAGTTTTCGTTCCTCATCATGTTTTCAGCAACCCTGGATGGTTTTACTTGTACCCATCGCCAAAACATCCCGCTTCGACTCCCAAAAGGGGCGAAAAAACAAAGGTCACTCCGATCTAAAAATAATTCCCGTCATCCTGTTCTGAAACGTGAATATAGGGCAGTTCAACTGCAAGTTTCCCTTTTAAAAAAATCCAGCTTTTCAATTCAACGAGCTCTGACTTGTGCTCCCCAAACTCTAATGAGTGTTTGAGTTGATAAATGCTGTAAACTGGAAACTGGCTGTGGGCGTGTGTCAACGAAAGTTGTAACGGTCACGGAAGTTGAGCTAAGATTACGGTGAAATTGCATCTTGTGGGGGCTTGAGAGTGGGTAGGCACATGTTGGAGTGATTACCGAATCAAAAATTGAGGTTCAAAAACTACTCTTCTTACAAACATTTCCTTAAACAAAGTAAGAAGTTGATGATGGGAAACACTACTTTTCTTACAAAGACAAGGATACTTTGGCAACATTCCCACAAACCCCTTGCCATTAAACAAAATATACCCTTTGTAGGGGAAACTGTGTTTGATTTCCCAAGCAATTGGTTTGAAATTATTAGCAATTATGCTTTCCTTAAACAAGAAACAAGTTGATGGTGAAAAACTATTCTTCTAATTCAAAGGCTCATGTTTTGTTATGGGGTGAGGCATCAATCATTTTTTAGTATTAAAGTTGATCATTTGCATTTATCTTAAAAGTAACCTACCAAATTATTATCAAAAATTTTACTTGGATTGAAGATCGTACTGGTACTAAACACCCTGTGAAATGATTCAGTCTGGCTTGCTGTCATTTAGAAGCAATCAAGGAATGTAGGTGATTTCCAACGATCAGTCAATTGACAGATTCTTGGAATAAAGAGTGCTACTAACAAAATCGTGTTTTGTGATCAAAAGGTTGTGCATGTTTTCTTACTCTGTATTCTCGATAAGTGCTGAGCTGAAACTGCAACAGGTTAGGTTTTGAACATTCTTCTTTGCATTTTGAGCGGTATTATTGGAAAAGTACAAAATGCATGAAAAGCTAATGATGCTGATAGGGGCAATTCCATGGTTTGAAGGACATGGCTAAGAAAAAAGAAAAAAATGTTTAACTGAGTTTCACATATGCCTTTAACATTTTCTGGTTCATTCATTTCAAATGAAAATTGTAAGTTGATGACGAAAAATCTATGGCTCTTTGGTCCTATTTTTCCCTCTCGTGTTAAAAACTAAAAAAACTTTTGTAACCATTCTTATAGTGTTATCATTAAGGAGTGAACCAGAACGATGAAATCTCAGATGTCGGATGTAACAGGGACAAGAAAACGCGGACCCAAATTTTATAGAATGACCACTGTGGATTTAGTTTTCAGCCCCTACCTGATTCAGTGGGTTCCCCGGAATATTGTTCCTACGACTAAAAATCTGAAAGAAAGCGTATTGTCACTACTTCAGTTTCTTCAGGGTTCTGACATACACTGACTTGTGCGCATACTTGGCTATTTTTTATTATTAGAAATAGTCAAATTTTGGCCAGTTTGAAATGTTCTCAAAATTTTGCTAGAAAAGGTATTTAAATAATTGGGGATCCAGAGGTGGATTGTTACATTCAATTAAAGATGGTGAAGCTAAAGATTGTGGTGATTTTGGCAATTTGAAAATCTAGCTTGCTAAAGTTTTGCTAGAAATCCTTTTTTTTAAAGGCTGCTTTTGCCCTGTGAAATCTACTGGAATCATATTAATGTTTTTATCTACATAAAGGCTTATCTGATCTGCCACACTGCCTGCCACGTTAATTTTACGGTCAGAATGATCCTCGATTCACAACGACGGCGGAAAGTCTAAGACCGACACAATGACTGATATGCAAACAGCTCAATGGCAGCATTACGACACAATTGCAAAGAAATTGCCATCAAAAATCATAGTCCCTGCTCCCTGGGGCCCTGTTTATATTAATCCAATTGATCGGGGGAGTGAGGAGGGGGAGGCCAATTTTGATCGTAGCTCAGTGGACAAAAGCTTTGCGCTGGTTAGATATGCGCATTTAAAGCGATACAGCCGGTGGGAGTTTTCAAGGGCAGAAGGATTGATGGTGTGAAATGTTTGCTTTTCCTTTGGCTGTTTGGTGATTGCGTCAAACACTTTTGTTTCCGATGCCCGGCCCGGCCGGATGGTTTGAGTTCATCGATGCGACGTCATCAGAGCCGTTTATTTCAAGGCGGCCCCAACAGCATGCGTGATCAAAACTAGCTGCTGCCTGCAGTGGCCACCGGCTGGGACCTCATTTGCATAAATCAATGAATAATTCACGATCAGCTGACTTCTCCCAACCATAAGCCGGTGATGAAATGTATTACATCTGGTGCAGGATAATCCAATTACAAGTGTACACAACCGGAGGTTTACAGTAAAAAAAAAAAAATAGAAGAAAAGAAAGGTCAATGTTTTGGCAATCAAAAAATCAATATTCCCCAGAGAACTGTGTCAGAGAAACGGGGAAAAAAATCCTTGTGTCTCCCACCCGGTTCTTGCGTCCCAGTCGATTAAATACACCGAGCCTAATCCGTCTCTCAGCGAGGGGTAATTAGAGGCAAAATACCCCCTCAATGATGCAATGGAAGACTCCGGATCACTCAGGCAGAGCTGGGAAAACAGAGAGAGAGAGAGTGGCAGAGTCTGGTTTAGGAATTGAGAAGCCGCAGAGGAGTAGTGGTGGTGTTTTTTCGGAAGACACGAGGTGGAAACTATAATGTCAAAACGGCATGTGTATATTAGGTTGCCTCTCTTGCGTAAGCTGGATAAAGTCCCTCGCGATATTGTTTTAGATCGAGTACGGGGTGCTAAAGTTAGACGTGGGATCATCGGGGACACTGACATCTTGTACTCTGTCCAGTGGAAGTGTTTTTCTTTCAGGTAATTTTTGTTGACGTCAAAGTTGAACAGCGCAGACAGTTGCTACAAATGGATTAACCCAGCGCCTACTTTTTGAGGTAAGACACCACAAGGGTGAAGAGAATATGGGATTTGTGACTAGGTACCTTTGTAGGTGTACCCATGGAGTACCATAGATTGGGTTCTGGATATGGGATTTATGACTAGGTACCTTTGTAGGTGTTCCCATGGAGTACCGTAGATTGGGTTCTCGATAAGAGGCAACTTTGCCTGGATATGGATGTGAACTACGGATGTGATGTTAACACGTTTAAAGAACGAAAATTCTATAGCTGTTTACAAATTTTCCAAAACCCGAATTATAAGAAAGGGACACGCAATCTTACGTTGAGTTTATAAACTACATAGCACAAACATTTATTGATGTTTTCAAACCTATTTCATTTACAAGACCTTAGAAACACTGCAGTGCTCAATGATATATTCAGGGTCCATGTAGTTAACTTTTACGTTTCCATTGACTGCCCGCTATTTATTATGTCAATCAATGTTGGTTTATCATGTCAATCACGCTGGTCTACAATATTACAGACACGATGGGCAAGTGTCAGTCTTTGTGAAATGGCTAAATGTTTAAACTGTTCTTAAAATAGTTGCTAAAGGTTCACACAACTAAACGCAAAGTCATCAAGTATAAATGGGTACCGGCATTAGATGGAGAGTAACCTGCGATGGACTAGCATCCCATCCAGGGGGAGTAGAAATATTCCCGGTCGTTTCATACTACTAAAACTGTAAATAAACGCCGGCCTGGCCACATTGGCTCGTGACAGACTTTACGAATATTATTACTCACATCATTAATGTGAACCCCGGACCAACTTTAATACTGGAACGAAGCATTCCTGCTTCTAACACATCTAAAAGCCTTGAGCAGTTAATACTGAACCCTACTGTGATATTTTAAAAATTGAGTTCACAATTTGGGAAGAATTTAGCTCTTCGTCCTAATATTGGAGCAATACTGCCCCTGCGTTCTTGAGTGTGGTTTCGCCAAAAGAACTGAAATTTCAACTGTCAAGTTGAATTTCTGTCTCTTACACTGGATTTTGAATGAATGAAATGTTGGCATTTTATTCCGAAAACAAAACATTCCTTTTCTAATTGGCTATTTTTCTAACATCACAAAAGTTATACACTTTTGAATGAAACAGCGGTATTGAATTTTTACTTTCAAATTTTAAATTGTTGGCTGCCAGACAATAGGTAGGCTGGATCCTGCCCCACAATCAGTATTGATAATACACAGACCCGGAGCCAGTCTGCTTGCAAAGCGGATCTGCTTGTGCACAGAACAAAACAATTTTTTTTTAGAGGGTTAGGCCAACAGACGTCGCCCAAAAAAGGGGAAATGGAGATTTTTGGTTGGAATAAAACATACAAGTTGAAAATGTATTAACAGTCAAAAACATAACAAATGTGTTGGAGAGCACCGGAACGCAACTTTAATGTGTGTTTTGAAACACTAATTGCTGTAGTTACCAGAGAGTAGAAGTCAACAGAGACAGCGAAGCTACGCTGTCCTCATGCTAAGCATAGCAGAGCCATCTCTATATACACATTCCGCACAGTCGTTGGTATTATTATCCAGGCCAGTTATGATAAACACCCCACCGTGGGGTAAACCGGGAGCCTGGCTGGACCCCAACCAATTGAATTAGGGGCCCACCAACTTGATCCCAGTCCCAAAAACGGTTCGGACGAGCATGATCATGCCGGCGACATATCTATCCAGCTTCTGAACAGATGACGACTTTATATAACAAGTTCATCTGTCTGACTATCAGGGAGAATGACACAGAGGTAGAAATGCGTGCACCGGTATGCGTGACCCTTGAGCATGAAATGAAGTCCGAAAAACAACTGAAAACAGGTTGGAGATCGCCAGCATTTCCGTGGGTGAAAAGTTTGTTTCGAGATTTCTGGAAACACGAGCCAGGTTTGACACAAACATATGTTTACAGTATTTGTCCGGATTCATTACTTAATAGACTATGATAAAAGAAGTATAAAACTTGAAATGTTTGAAAACTTAAACTTGCATTCAAATTGTTCATAGACCTTCAACATTTACGAGGTTTTTGAAGAATTTTTGCAGGATTTAGAAAAGTACATTAGAAGCCAGTGACAAATAATTTATATAACTTCACTGTTTGTGTTGGAAGCAACAACATTGCTCAAAATCTTAAGGGTGCATAAAACTTGTTTTAAGTTTTAGCTCAATGGATAGATTTTGAGAAATCAGAGAAAACATAATTTTTGGGGTCTCATTACTTGATTCTGTTGCTAACGTAAAAAAAAAATGTACAGTCTGTAGTTTCTTAAACCAAACTCAATGATTGTTTTCTTCCAAATAATACCATTTCAGTTGGAATAATTCCACAGGGTGTTTGTTACAACTCTGGTCTTAAATTTGAACAAGGATTTTCTCGTTTAATCAAACCTGCACTATTCAGTGTTTCTAATTTAGATACCAGGGTACTTTCAGAAAGATGTCAACTCATGTCTGGTTTTGCCGTGAAACCAAGTGTTAGATTTAACACCAACGTAATTTCGTAAGAAGAAACGAAACACAGTGCTATTATCAAGAACTTGCAAGAAAAAAAATGTTTTGAATTTTTTCTTCATCTCAGCCCAGCACTGAGTTTCTCATAAATTCAATTATGTCAGTGAAGGTCAGTACCCAAGACACTGACACCTTTCCCAAGAATCTTTCAGAAGCCTCTAAAATCTCTAATTTTGCAAGAAACCAAGCGCGCAGCCTGAAACTTTAAAAGCGTATCAAGCCCTATGTAAAGTAACACTGGCTGCTTCTTCCCTTGGAGTAGGGTTCTCGAACGCTCTGTAAAAATTTTGTTGTGCAGTGATTTTCGCAGCAATATCGCCGGAGTGCATGAAGTATTCAGTGCTGAGGTACTGGTCTTCCAAATATTCATATCTAGCTCGGTATATTATATGCGAGATGCCTGGCCCAGCATGCTTCCCGCAATTATCATTCCAGGAAAGCTCGCTCGCATTACATGCATCGGCCCAACTCAGCGGCCATGCTTTACCGCAGTCGGCAATAGTTTATACATACATGTACACACACCAGTCGCTCTGCTAAATATACTCTTTTATTTTTAAAGGGACCGTACATAATTGTGATCTGTGAAGGTTTAAGTTGTGTTCTCCGTGCCAATTTCGAGTTTCATCCCAAAACAATTTCCTTTTCTAAATTGCTGTTTTGTCTAGCAATACAAAGATTATTCACTTTTGGATGCGACATCGACTGAAAAAATAAACCAATGTTTACTCATTGAAATATAACTTTACAAGTTTGAGTTATTGGCTGCTAGTCCATCGCAGGTTACTCGGCCCCAGCTAATGCCGGTACTGGGTGGAGAGAGGCAAGTGGGGTGAAGTGGCTTGCCCAAGGACACAACATATGACAATCAGCTGTATATGAACCCCTGACCCTCTGATCATGAGTCACGAACCCTAACCAATAGGCCACACTCCCCCCAAGTCAAAGCTTACCATGAATTTATGTGAATTTGAGTGAATGTGTATATTGAGCTCTAAAGTTGTTTAACTTTAGAAACCTTATGAATAATCCCCAAATGTTTATTAGTGAACAAGGTCCCAATTCCTTTTTCTGACAACTGAACATTTTACACGACTTATCACCATAAAATGGTGCATTTATAACATAAAGTTTTCCAAATGTGGTTCATTGTTTGGTCAATTAAGGCCAATGATTTTTGAAGAAATCGCCCCTTGCCTCCCTTACAAATTGTGAGGGAAGTTTCACTAAAGTGATTTTCCAGGGGAATCATCCATTTTTCAAATATTCACACAACTTTGAACCTTACATATTTGTCCATTGTTTCATTTGAAAAGTGTTCGAACAATATCTGCCTTCAAAGTGTGCTTACAATGTACATGTACATTACAATTTGTTGTAGTAGCTATGAAAGCTTAAATGCAAACTTTTATTCTTGTTAGTGACTAACACGGCTACCCACCGCCCACATTGATCACATGTGTTTTAAGTTTATACCCCAAAACCTGTTTTTCTCATTTTTGATTATTTTTTTTGGATTTCAAGCTTTAATCCTCTCCCTTGAGATAAGACCTGGGGATAAACAAAACAACATATCGTCATCCGAGACCCGAACGGATAGAAACTGTGATAAAACCCTGGTTTCACTTTATCCCCAACTTGTCCTGAAGTTTCGTGGGAACATGTCACTGTTTTCCCCCATGAGTTGCGCCTGTAGGCCTGCTAGACTATCATACTTCGTGGGAAGCGAAGGACCTAATGTAACCTTTTATCCTTCTCAACTTAGCAACAAAAAATTTGACCACTTCTTTGTCTTTCAAGTGACTCTAATCACTGTAGTGTGAGGGTGCTTTCTCCGTAACCGAAGTTTTCATAATACATCTTGAGTCAAGTAAATCAAATTTGAATCAAGTACGAATTCGGCCTTTACACAAGAAATTCGACTAATCATTGGAAACGTGTAGTTTAATAACCTTGTTAAGAAACTACCCTAGACAAACTGAATGCGATTAGCCAGGATATATTCTAGGCATTCTACATAATCGGTAACTGTTTCTGTTAATAGAAGCTGGTTACTTTTGTAACTGGTTTAATTCGGTAACTGGTTTAAGTCACTAACTGGTTTAACATTAAGTCAGAAACAGGATTAAAGTCTGCACTAAATGGGTAACTATCAATATAGCAGTAAATGCTCTGAATTTGTTCTCCAGTAAGCGTTTGTTATTTGGCATCTGTTTTTATGCAATATCTATTTATATTTGGCACATTATGTGGTGACTGGTTAATTCAGTAACTGGGTCAAGTCACCAACTGGTTCAAGAAAGAAACAGGATTAATTTCTTAAAACTGGGGTACTACCATAACTATGGGTAACTACTCTGCTTGTTCTACAGAAATAAATTGTTTGCTCTATGGCAGCTGTGTTTATGACATGTCTGTTTATAGTCAAGACAAATTATTTGATAACTGGTTTAATTTTCTAAACGGGTTTAA